TTTTTTTTTTTTTTTTTTTTTTTTTTTTTTGAAATAAAAATAATGCTATTTGTAATGTCAAAAAATAAACATTTTATCTTTTTACTTACAAGAATTTTTTTTTTTGAAGTAGTCATTTTTTTCTTCTCAGCATAATTTGTAGTGATCAAAGAATTAGAAAAAAAAATTTACAGAGTTTTGAATATTTAAAATGAAGTAAATAAAAAATTAGCAAATTTCGAAGTTACGTTTGACAACAGTAATTATAATAATGCTAAAAATTTCCATGAAACGTTATAAGTTTAGTAAAAGAGTATGTTTTCACAGAATAAGCTTACAGCTTTATTATCTGCTAAAATTCTGCAGAAAATAATTACCAAATTAAACCGTTCTTATAAGATTTGGTTATACGCTATTTATAACCAAAATCTTCCAACACAGATTTGTTACAACAACAACAACTTTACCATTGTTATACCGTCTATTGTATCAACGGTACTTTTCGTTCGATTACCAGAAAAAAAAAAAAAAGACAAAATATAATTGTACACTTATTCAATTCATTTATTTCCTTTCTTGTTTTATTCTCTCTTCTTAAAAGCTTAATAATAGCATAAAAATTTTTCAAAAAGTTACCCTGAAACAAAAAAATTGAAATCAGACTTATAAAACTCATAAAATTTTGACCAATTTATCAACTCTTCCAAAACAACTTTATCTAACTGATATCTAGGAAAAACTGTTTCCAAATTTCGCTGATTAGCATAGTCTAGTTCTCATTTTAAAAAGATAAAAGAGCAAAACAAAAATTAGAAAGAAAAACAACACTTAGAACATTGGATTCTCCGTCAAATTATATACGGTATCAGAATGAAAAATTTTCAAGTTTTTTTGTTTCGCCTCATCCAAACGCTGTCCCATTCCCAGTAACTTTGTTATTTGCACATAGAACCATTTAGTTCTAAATTTAAGACAGAAACTTATATTTTTTGGATATAGCAAATAATCTATTTAACACTTTACAAAAGTGTAACAAAAAGATTTATTTTAACTTTCTGCCTTGTTTTGAAGAAGAATTTTATAGTAAACTTTTTTGTAGTTTAAATTGCTTACAATAAAATCTTCATAAAATTCGGATAGTTTATTTGTTGAATTTTCAAGTAGACGAGTTTACTGTATTTCTTTTGTACAGAACTGCATATCTGAACCGAATTGCAAAAGCAGTGAATTACACGAACAGTGCATTCTGCAGTAAAATCGTTTTAAGCTTTGAAAGACATTAACTTTACCGTGAATCGAAACTTAATTAACCCTATGGACGACTAACACAATTACAAAACCTAGAAAATAAAGATAGTTCGGTAAGAGAATATATATTCAAAAATCTTGTTCAACTTTGATGCTGTATAAGCCTACAGGAAAATAGATTTGACATTTTTAAATTCTAATTTCATTTCTTCTTCCTTGATCTGAACCTATATGTCAATTGCCAATAAAAGTAAAAGATTTTAGAATATCATTTAAAAAAGATAAGTAAAATTTTATATAAGATTAATGAAATACAATAAAGGTTCATCACACAACAACATCCTATTGCCTGTTAGATAAATAATTTGAATAATTCAGTAACGAACTGCCGCAGAAATAGTTCACTCAATAAAGCTAAACAACGACAAAATTCCTGTAACCGTCAGTGACTGATAGGAGCAGCAGTATATCAATTGAAACATTTATTGTTTCATGTTGCTAAAGTTACATTTGGAATCAGAACCAAACGAATCCTAAAAACAGTAGATCATTGATATCAACAAAATGCCAAAATCAATGCTTCAACTTTGAAGAAATAATGAAGTAAGCAAATAGTAAAAGAAAGAAACAAGAACAGACTAATGTCAGAGGTGGAGAAGAAGACAGTAATGCACCAACTTGATGACTTTTTACCGTTAAACATCAACGAGAAGCAATCACAGCACAACGTCATCTCCAAACTACAGTAGCAGTTTATGATACTCCAAACCAGTGACTGATTCGGCTGCTTGACAATCGCCTTCACCAAATCACTGGCTGCTAGTTTCTTCACCTCTCCGCTGGTTAATCATAACGTTGTTCATGGCATCTGACGGTTGGTCTTCCAATAGTTCCGAATAATCACTGACGATTCCAACAGATTCATATAATATTGCTGGAACACAGGAGATACATCAGATAAACATTCGATATTGATTTGGTGCCACTTCTCATTGGTGGTCTGTTTCGCAACAACTAATCAACTCAACTAATTCAACAGTAATGTTAGTTTAATTTTTTCCTGTCTAATATCACTTTTTATAATATTACTATTATTTTGTATTAATTTGATTAGTTTTTTTTTTTACAGAAATAAAATGTAGAAAATTTTTAATTTGTTCTTAACTCATCTAGAGATCATTTCAGATATTGCAGAGCAAGGTTTTATTTGATCTATTTTACAGTTATATTACAGTTTTGCTGTAACCAGTATACTGTCAGTAAAGTAGATCTGTCCTGTAGTAAATTTGGAATTATCCGGTTTTCTTTGCAGTTGTTTTTTTTTTTTTCTTTGGAAGATACTGAGGTTGATATTTCTGTTTAGTACGTCTCACCATCAGTTCTGAACAGTTTAGCTGAAACAAAGATGATTGATGCCGTAAAGTTCAAAAAGTTTGGGTTTACTTGTTTTTACTTTTTTTTTTTTCCTTCTTGTAATTGATTTCCCTCATTGGTTTTACAGCATTCTATAATTTCATTGTTAATGATTAATTAATGATATTCTTAACTTTTGTTCAAAATTTATTGGGACCAAGTGATGAATTTTTTGACTGCGGATTTAGCATTTGGTATTTTAGTGAAGATGTAATTTAAAATTTTTAGAAAGAAGAAGGAAGTGGACGTAGAAGGTTCATCTGAAGTGAGAAAGCGAAGAATGCCCCCAGGTCATATTCCTTTCAGAAGGATTAAAATTCCAGAACAGTGGAAAAAAGATATGATAGGTGAATTCGTTTACGCATGTTTTTTCTATTCATTGACTTTTTCTCTCTTTACTGGAGTGGTTTAAGAATTTGTATTATCTGGTCAGTTTTTTCTTTACAGGAATAAAATAATTTGTTAACTTTATTTATGAAAAAAGTTTATAATTTGGAATGGTAGTGAGCATCAAAAATTTGTAAACAGTACTCACTAAAAAATTACTAATTACCAGTAATGGGGATGCAAAACCATTTTCTAATATAAAGTATCGTAGATTAATCTCAAGCTAACATCTGTGCAATGTAATAAATGATATTATTGGCAGTTGTTGAGAAGTGCGTATCGGACGCATTCACAAGTTGTACTTATCCGAGTCTGGAAAAAAAGGAACGGCTTCGTTCAGCAGTATTAGATGTTTTTACTGAGACCAGAACCATGAAAGAATCTTCGATATTCTACAATGTAAGCTTTCGGAAAATTAATGTTCTATTTTTTGCTTCACTTTTTTGCAGCTCTTAAGTTCTTACAGACGTTCCAGAAAAGATTTTTGAAATCTCACTATTATGCTCTTATCAACATTTGATGCTCGGATCGGAAACGAGGTTTTTCAATAATATTTCTGGAAGCTTACCTTAGATAATGCTTTTGCATTCTCAAATTGGCACATTCGGGAACATAGGCTAATCTCGTTGTCATTCTAAACTATTTCGTCGCAGGAGCTTTTGAAAGTTCAACGATCTTAACAGCTGGAAGTTTTGTTTGTTTAAAAAGAGCTTTTTAGGTACCGTTCACTACTGTTCAGACGTATTTTCATAAGTCCTGCAAGTTGGTTGAGGAAGCGATTCCGTTTGATGACGGCCTGAGGGTCTGTTAAGATAATTATTTTATTAAAAAACTTTTTGCAGATTCTCAACTTCAACTTTATAGGTTGAGGACAGAGCGAAAGTAAAAACTACCAAGCAGAGTAATACTATAGGTGACGTCCTTCAAAGATTAAGTGGAATCAAGTCTGATGCCATAAGTCCAGGTTAAGCTCCTTCCACTTCTCTTATCAAACTTACCCGACATCTTAGAACAATCTGACAGGAAATGACCGCTTAGTGACTGTTGCTTATCCTAAAAAATTTTTGATATTTGGTGGTCTAAGTTTGTTTTTTAAATAACGAACGAGATTACAGATGTTAAGAGTAAAAGTATGAGGATAACGAGCGAAAAAAGTCTAGAAGCAGGTAAGTAATTAGTTTCTTCATCAAAAAATTTTGATTAGAAGAGACGAGATGCAAAATTAGATGTTTAGGGTGATATTTTAAAATAAAATAGTAATCATTAACCTTGCTCGACACTGCAATATTTCTGCGTGTGAGAAATAAAGCTAAAAGATATAGTGTTCTTCACAACAAACCTCTATAATCACATGTTTATTTGTCTTTGATTTCAAGGATTTTCAACTACTGATTCCATTAACTGCCAGAAAAGAATATGTAATTCAAGGACAGTTTTAGTTTAGCGTGCCCATTCCAGGTGCTTCCACCTCTAAGTATTCCCTTAATTTTTTATATATCGTGTTCTCGACGTCATTTTATATGCCTCTTGTAACGCTCGTCTAGGCTTATTAAATCTTCTCTACATTCTGGATGTGATCTTTAAAGTGCACCCTTACCCGTATGATTCAGTAAAGCTGCACTCTCGATGTCGATTTAACGCAAAGGATTTGCGCCTGGCGTATTCTACAGCCGCGATTTTGGGGGGATAGAATGTTTAAATTCGTTTACGTCCACGATTCCTGCTGTTCCTTAACTGTTTTTTGGCTGCTTTTATAGTACTTTTATACATAGTAACAATCTTTCAATTGTGGCGACACAGTTTTTCTACCCAGTTTATGATACCAAGGAGAAAAATTCTAGAAAAGCTTCCTGAGAAACGTCTACACGAATATTGAAAAAATTTTTGCTGATTTTTCCGATCATCAAGGCTAGAAACAAACCCAGAAGATTAGATGCAAGATGTGTATAAATTAAGCTCGCTTGCTGCTATCACAGGTACTGTGCTTTGAAACCGTACAGATGAGCGTTACTCCGGCACTATTCTTGAAGAACGAAAAGACTCACAGACGTTTTTTAAATTGAGGATGGCCAGGAAAACTTGTTCAAAAACGTTTGAAGGGGAAAAAGGGAGAAATTGTGAACAAGGATTGTTTATTAAGTCCAGTTGCGCAGAACTGTCACAGGACTAGGCAGATGTCTGATGTTTTTCAGTAAAACGAGGATCGTCGAGTAGAAAGCCAGATTTGAAAAAAATATTTGGCTACAATGATTACCTTTTTTCAAAAATATGGAATCGAGCCAATTTTTGTTAAGCAAGAACCTTCAGGCTGTCGCCAACTTTGTTCCCCACACTTCCTGGATTAGTTTTAGCTTATTGTTCGCTTTTACTAAGAGCGGAGGGGATCTTGTAATTTCTTTATGAAGTATCAGAACTCATACCATTTTCAATGATTCGGTTGTTTGCTTCTAGAAATACCAGTTTCGGTCTCGATTTCTCCGCATTTAAGTGGATCTAGTAAACGGAAGCCGAAATTTGTGCGTCGTATTGTAAGTAGCGAAGAACTTGAAGATGATGCGGGCGAAGAATCTTTGTTTGATTTTGAGCTAGATACTCCCTTTCCATTCGATGCTTTTAATTGTCAACAGGTCCCTTTTTTTTGTTTTTAAATTTCTTCTGTCTTGTTATCTTGTTAAATTTCACTTCGTTGCTTAACTTCTTCTGTAGTGAGAACTTCTGGATTGACTTTGTTTATTCTCAGAAGGAGATTTACGTGGTGTTATGATTGTGCGGTAACTTTCCTAAGCTAATAAAAGTGAAATAATTCAGTTGTTTCTATGATTGCGTACCGATTATCTGGGTATCATGATGCTACATCTTTTTTACCTTATTATCGTTGTCATCTGATTAGAATATAATTCACTAAGTGTGCGTAGATGCTAACAGGAGTTTGTCTCGGTGTTTCAGAATTAGTTGAGATGAAACTCGCATTGGGGGTTCTGGTTCGTTGCTAGTGAATTGGATGGGAGGGGATGGTCAGGTGGTCAGGTAGTGAAAAATATATTGAGTATTTCATTTAAGAGCGAAACAGAATGCATAAATAAATTGCTTCTTTAAAGCCCCTTTCGCGCTCATTGAATCCGATATTTTATTCGAAACGAGTATCGTTTTATTTGTTTAGGTTCTGATGCTTACCGATTTGGCTTCTATGGCAAATCCATTAGTAAATTCAGGAAGTCTTCAGGGTATTGAAATGTCGATAGATGGAGATGTGGACGGTAGTTCTTTAATTTTCTGCCTGGTTTTTTGTAGGCTAGTTTTGACTAGCTTTCATTAATTTTTTCCAGAACACTTCGCATTATGCGAAGGAATTTATTTAGAGAATCTTAGGGAGCTCTGCAAATGAAATTGGTATTACCTATTTATGACAAATGCTAATTTATTTTACTAATCAAAACAGCATTAGATGAAAATACAGTCAACTTCCTAATTTTCAACAACTAAGATCTTGACTAGAGGCAGCTTCTAGTTAGCGTAGTACCTGACTGGTGTAGAGAGAAATTGGTAGCATATATAGCGTCAGTAAGTGGTGTTTGTGAAGAAATTCGCTGCCGCCTGAAAGCTGCCATAAATGACGTTTATGCTGGCAAGATGTCTCTTCAGGTAAGCCCTTCATTATGCTTTTTTTTATTGTAACAGTGATATAAAATTGGAAGCTGGATTTAGTGATTATTTTTTAACTAGCAACAAAGTTTTGTGTCTGGTAGCTACTATTGTTTTTGTAGGATGCTTGTTTGACTCACAACCTTGGCTTCAATTATTTATCAAACTACTATGAGGCGTTTTTAACTCAGTTGCGAAAACAAGCAGCTTTCATAATGTCTGTACTCTCAGGTCCGTTCATCATCATTTCTGTAAAAAACTTATGACCTGATAATTTTTTGTAATTGTTGCTTTTTTTTGTTGTCTTATCAAGGAATGAAATTTTTTTTTTTAGGAGGATCTGTCGACGAAATTTCCAACACACTTGGCCTTGGAGACTCATCGAGATTTTTAGTAATTTTTTAAATTTCACTTTACACAAATAGGTTCAATTAATCTTAAATAATGAATAAAATTGAAAAACCAGAAATAGGTTTGGTTGTCACATTCGAAATTTAGTTTCTTATGAGCTTATTCTTTTCTTTAAGCAATATGTTATGTAACTGAGAATTCAAAGGTTGTGGACATCTTATTTTTAGGATGAGGCAGTTATAAGGAGTGCCGAGTCGTTTGAAAAGATGAAGGAACTTGTTTCTTTCGAGAAAAAGGGTATGAAAGTAAATGAAGATCATTTTTGACACTTACATTAAGTGCACTTTAATCTGAAATGGTCATGGCTGAAGAGTTCTCTATTTTGTGGTATGCGGAAAACGTGGTTTTTAAGCAGTTTCCAATTCTCTTGAATTGTAACATTTCAATGCGATTATTGCATCTGGTATTTTCGGTTTGTAGAAGACGCTTTAAGAGGAACTTCCGACAAGGTGCTTGAAAATGGGAGAGAAGGAAGCCAAAAAAGGCACAGGGAAAGGGAAAAATATGGTCCCCCTTTAGATCCAGAAGATAGTGAACGGCTTAAAGCAATTGAGCAGGGAGTAATTGAAGCTTGCAAACCGTCGACGTACAATGAATCTCAAAAGAAACGTCTTCACATGGCCGTTTCAATGTATGGCTTAGTTTCCTTGTTTATAATTTGTTATGGGTTCTGTCGTTCTTCTCTCTCATTTTTTTTACGTCAGAACTTTCACATAATCTTATGTTAATGCCGGAAGCCTATTTAGGGTCGTCCGTGGCGAGGGACCCGTAAGCGTTGCGGCAAATCAGTCTCATCTTCCTCCGTCCACTGTCCAGTTATATGCGCAGCGTACAAGGATAGCACTTGGGTCTTTACTCCCACCACCAGCAGCTTCTGTTAGAAGGTCGCTGGTTTCTCATGAGTTAAGTAGGTCTTTAAAGTTTTTTTAGGTATTGACTAAACTTTTATATCTTTTTAAGACTGTGTATTTATAGATAGACCGTGGGCTGAAAAAAGTGTGGGTAGCGAAAAGAACTGGGATAAAGAGTTGAAGAGGCAGAGTCCAGGTGATGTAAGTAACTCTGCATTTGAAAGACTTCCTTTTTGTCGCGATTTTTGTTTTAGAGATGGTCTTACCATTGAACAATTTTGTGTATATTTTGTTTTTTTCAGTCGTTAGAGCTGAACGAAAATCAAGATTCTGACACTAGGAAAAGTTTTGTAGCGAACCGGGATGACAGTAACAGCTATTTTGAATTGAAGGATATCCAGCAAAGAGCGGATTCTTTAGGTGATTTTACGGATACTTGTCTCACTTGTTGCATTCATAAACGCATTCAATTGACGTGGTAAAATGGTAGAATGAAAAAAATTATGAAGTTGAAGAATGGTAGCAAAAATCCGTACTTTTTGAGGTTTAGAATAGCTTTTCAGGGACGTCGGCTTTGTCAGATTTAGCTGTTCGAATGCTGGCGAAGGTGGATGTTACAACTGTGCTCTCTTCTGAACTGAAGTGTACCAAAGAGGAATTGATCCGGAAAATTGATGCGGTATGCGGAGATTGAGTCTAATAAATATAGTTTCTAAGCTATTTAGATTTCTACCAGACGGAATCGTTTTTTATGAAATATATGAGTTTAGATACTCCGCAATTTTCACTACCCGAATGATTGCACAGTAATGCGCGATGCCTTGGTGGGCATATTTTTGGAAGGAAAAACTGTTGATGAAGTATGCCATCTCAATAAGTTAAAAGTGCAGGAAGTTGGCGCATATATGGCCCTCGTGAAAGTCTATTGTGAAAGTAAAAAACAAGTAAGGTTTTTATGTAACATTGAGATAGAAACCCTTCAAGCAGTGATAAATGGCCCCATTTACTTGATTTTTATGTAGGAATACCAAAGAGACATTGATATCGAGCTGAACGAAGCACAAAGTCAAGGTTGTGACAGCCCTCGAAAGAAAATGAGGAGAAGTACTTCCAGTTTGAGATCTTCTGGTGATTTGACATTGCTGAACAACGATGAGCCTGGATTAACCCATTCTAGTGAAGCCTCTTTAAAGGTCAATATAGCGAAATTTTGTTATAGGTTGACATCTTTAAAATAATTCTAATTGTATTGTTGTCGGTTTCTGTTACCCATTGAATTCACGCACATTTAAAAAAAAAAAAGTGGTTAAAAAACTCTTAATCTAACTTTTTTTAGTCACGGGAAGGTAGTAGCGAGTCAAGGGTACAAGGACACGAAAGTGGTTCTTTAGTGGACAAAGTTGACGTGATGTTTCTCCATTCAGAAACAGTTCTAAATTCGGAAGAACTCTGTATGAAAAGTGTAATTGCGTATTTAGTTCAGCAGCAGTATCGTCGATCTCAAATATCGCAAGATGTAGATGTTGCATTTCTAAATGATTTTCTCGCTTTTTTACATTTCTGGTTCATTTAGCTACATATTCTTTCACCTTTCATAAGAAGCAGTTATCGGAGGACTGTGTGGTAACTTTTAGATTTTTAGAAGTTGCGTTTATGCCTTGAAAATGTTCTCCTAGACGGATTACAATTAAAAGAAACTCTTATGTTGTTCAAGGGCTTGTCAGAACATGTTATTCAAGTAACTCGTTTTATAAACTAAATTATCCGTCTTATACTTTTCTTTTCTAGAAAGTTTTTTTTTAGGCATATGTCATCCGCTGTAGAGATGCTAAGAATTGTATCACCAATGAATTTCCGATTTTTATTTCTGAATCTCTCAAGGCATTAAATGAAGTTGACTTTGCGAACCTTTGTTCAGGTAATTAAGTCGTTTGCTGATCCTGCTGCTATTTATTGGAATCTTTTTATAATTTTTCAGGTGAAAATTTCTTTGCCGTTATAATTGTATAACTAAAGTTAAACTTTAAGATGATTCTTTTGTAAGTGCGACTCAAAAATCTGATACGTCAACTACCAGCAGTTCCACATCCTGTTCGAGAACACAGAGGAAGATGAAGGTTTTATTGTGAACATTTTTGTCTGTCTTAAACATTTCTTTTGAAATGAAAGTTATTTTCTTGTCGATTTAGAAGAATGCTCTGTCTCCGGACTCAAAAGTCATCCAAATAGATAGCGTTGCACGTCTTAACTTGGTTTTGACTGAAGAAGTTCTGGAACCGTTGAGGACTTATATTAAGTAAGTGACTTGAATAGTTTTGCACAGTCTCCTAGTAAAAGCACTAACGTTTCCATGTCTGCGCACTAACGAGAGTGAGGTGTTAACGAGTTCTTTTTTTGATTTTGCTCTTTAAGTTTACTGGGGTTTGGGAAAGGCTTTTTGGGAATCATTTCCGGAAATTCTTTTAAAGTTACGTTATGTTATTTCTTGATATTTCAGGAAATTAAACGCTATTAACTTTCCAATTGACGATACGTTAAAAGAGAGTTTGGCGAAGGTTATTTTACAAAACACGCCTTCCCCATATATACTAGATGTTTCTGATGACGTTTGGTCTAAGTGGGGAGATAGTTACAATGAAAGAAAACTCTAATATCGACTATTAAAGCATGTTTCTAAAGTCTTGTGAAGTTCTTTGTAATTTGAATCTTTACTTTTTACGCTATTTAAGGTTGATTAAATGTGCAGTTTTCATACCTTTTTTCATTTGAATAAAAAACCATCATATCATTGACGGGTAATTTGCTTCCTCATGTTTTTGCAGTGTTTTTTTCGCTCGACCATGTTAATTTCTTTTTTTTTTTTTTTTAGGACTTGATATAATTCAAATCCTTCTACAATATTTTTTACTCATTGTTTTTGATTTTTTGGCCATGCTTTCTGGTTCATCACTGCGCGGGAGTACTTTCTAGTTTTATGTATCTGTCTTGTGTTTGTCCATTCCTAATTTAGCTCAGATTGTTCCCAGTGTTGCAGTAGCTCTGAATTATGAAATGTGCTTAATGTTTCTTTAAGTTATTAGATTGTTATAATTTTTTATCATATAATTTTTGGAATCTCGTGTATCTGTTACCCGGTTTTTGTTTGTTTTATCTACTTTGTTGCTACAATATTTTTTGAATTATTATTATGTTTGCTGTTGGTATGCAGCTGGTAATTATAATAAGAGGCTTAGTTGAAGTAAATTTTTGGATTTTGAAGATTTGCTTCTTCAAGTAAATTTAGCTTCATGCATTTTTTAGCGTTTTAAATAGTGATTCTCTTGGTTACTGTCGTAGTTTACGAATCTGATGTCATCGTTCCGTACTGTTGGTTTTGCGGTTTTTGGGAGTGTTGTAGGGGAGTTTGTTGTGAGTGTGGTCGGATTAGCGAACTAGTTTTGCCTTGCTCGACCGGTAGATTTGTTGCTAGAATCTTATAATTTGTAAAATTTTTTATTATATAACATTTTCCTCTTTTTTTTTTTCTAGTTTTATTTTTTTACCTTTTTTTGGTTTTTCGTTGTTTCTCAAGAAGGAAGGTAGCAATTGAGGAAAGGGAGGTAGTGATCGTCAAACATGGTATAGAGATGGAAAGTAATCAGTTATTTTTTGTAAAAGTGCCGTTTTATACGGCCTTCATAGTCATTTAAGTTCATCACGGTTTTTCCTGCCATGTTATTAAAAACCCTAAAAATTGACATCGTAGGTGCACTGTACAATCGTATTCAGGCGAGACCTTTTAGAAAGATACAAGAAGAAAGTATTATGCAGATTATTCATTTTCTTGTCATCGTGACACCTCTTCTTTTTCTACGATAACCTTTGTGTCGTCTTGGCCATGTTCCTGCAAACATTTTTGACTACAATAAGTGATGGTTGGGTTTTTAAAAAATGGTTTCTTTATTTATAATTTTTTTTGTTGTTGTCCTTTTCAATTAATTGTTTATTAGAACAAATTTTGTTAGAGAAAAGTTTTCTGGGAGGAATGGTTAGATTAGAATTAGTCATTTACCGATCCTAATTCCACATCGTGACTGTCACTTTCGTTTGATATTGATGGAACATCGGCTTCTATTTGTTCTACATTATTTTTTGAAAGTATTAAGGGTCCTAATATTTGTAAAATAAGTTGCCCTGCAAATAAAGCCAGTGTTCCACGTACAGTTAGTTGCTAGACGGTTTATAGTTTCATATGAAAATTACCTTCTATTTACAGTATTTTTTAGTTTTCTGTAAGAAAATCTAAAATCTGAGAGTAATTACCTGA